GCTTGGACCCAGAGATCCTTCAAGTTTGAAGCAGTATGGCTTGAGCATGAGGATTACTTGCAAATAGTTGAAAAAGGCTGGCTACAGTGTAATGTTTTGGGGAGAGATAAGGTGGAGGAATTGGTATGCAGACTTGAAAACTGTAAGGGAGTCCTCTCTGAATGGGGAAGGAGGTCCTTTCCTAATGCTCGTAAGGTGATACAAAATCTGACTTTGAGATTGGAAGAATGTAGACAAGGAGAATTTACTTCAGCCAAAAAAGAGGAAATGGAGGAAATTATTAATCAAATTGAGGAAGCTTGGGATAGGGAAGAGGTTTACTGGTGGCAGAGATCAAGAGTTCAATGGTTGAAGGCTGGAGACAGGAACACAAGATTCTTCCACTCAAGCGTTGTCCAAAGAAGGGCGAGAAATAAGGTGGTGAAGCTAAGAGGAGAAGGAGGGGCTTGGCTGGAAAATGAAGATGAGATAAATAATTCTTTTGTGAAGTTTTATAGCAAACTGTTTTCGTCTGAGGGCTGTAGTAACTTGGAAGTGGTATTGAGTTTTGTTCAAAAACTGGTCAAGGAGGAAGAAAATGCAAGGCTAGAGGAAGCGGTTACAAGAGAAGAAATCAAGAAAGCAGCGTTTCAGTTAGGAGGAGCAAAAGCACCAGGTCCTGATGGCTTCTCTGGAATGTTTTATCACTCTTCTTGGTCAGTTGTTGGCAGTGAGGTAACTGATATGGTTCTGGACTTTTTCAACAATAATGCTAGTTTATCTGCTTTAAATAAAACGAATGTGGTGCTTATTCCAAAGGTAGAAAATGCTGAGAGTGTGGGGCAATTCAGACCGATTGGGCTATGTAATTTTGCTTATAAAATTGTGTCCAAAATTCTAGCTAATAGAATCAGACCTATTCTAGCTAGAATTATCTCACAGAATCAAAGAGCCTTTATTGAGGGAAGGTTGATACAAGATAATATCATAGTGGCACATGAAGCTTATCACTATTTGAAAAATAAGAAAAAGGGAAGAAAATATGAGATGGCGGTGAAAGTAGACATGAATAAAGCATATGATAGATTAGAGTGGAAATTTATTGAAGAAGTAATGAGGAGAATGGGCTTCAGTGAGAAGTGGCTTAAATGGATAATGGATTGTGTGAGGTCTGTGATGCTGAATCTTGTGGTGGGAGGAAAAAAAATCGCTGAGATTGAAATGAAGAGAGGAATTCGCCAAGGTGATCCTCTCTCCCCTTTCCTATTCATAATTGCAGCTGATGCTTTGTCTCTTATGGTACAATGGCATGTTGATAAGGGTTTGTTAAGAGGAATTAAACTAGCGAAACACTGCCCAATTCTATCTCACTGTTTCTTTGCTGATGATTCACTCTTTTTTATCAATGCTAAAAGTAATAATTGTAGAAGGTTAATGGAAATTTTGAAGGTGTACTCTCAGGCGTCTGGACAAATAATCAATCTAGACAAATCCTGTATCTTCTTTTCCAAGAATACAACTGAGAGAGTGAAAAATGAAGTCTTTGAGATTTTGAGAATTAAGGCTTCCTCTGATCCTGGTAATTACTTGGGTTTGCCGGTGCTGTGGGGTAAATCGAAGGCAGAGGCTCTGAAGTTTGTGAAAAACAAGATGAGCTCCAAGATACAGGGATGGAAGCAAAGGTTGTTGACCTTTGCAGGAAGAGAGATCATGGTAAAGGCAGTAGCAAACTCGATTCCTATTTTTCCCATGTCCTGTTTCAAATTCCCTAAGAAAGTATGTAAGGAGTTTGATAGTTTGGTAGCCAGATTTTGGTGGGGACAAAAGGAGGAGGAAGGAAGAATTCACTGGAAACCTTGGAAATATATGTGTAAAGATAAAGGGAGTGGAGGAATGGGTTTTCGTGACTTTATGATGTTTAATGATGCTTTATTGGCAAAGACTGCCTGGAGGCTATGCCAAGGCCAAGATGAGTTATGGAGTAAAATCCTAAAAGGTCTTTATTTTGATAATAAGGACTTTATGAAGGCTGAAAAAGGTAATAGAGCGTCTTGGTGCTGGTCGAGCATTCTGGAGGGTAGGGACTTGTTGAAGAAGAAGCTGGTTTGGAAAATAAATAAAGGGGATAGAGTAAGCTTGTTTGAAGGTAGATGGTTACCTGATGCTAATGACTTTAAGTTGAGGCAAAGGATGCTGACCGATGAGATGAGTAGTATGAAGGTGGCAGATATCATTATGGACAGACAATGGTGTTTTGAGAAGGTAGATCACTGGCTCTCAGCTGAAGATAAAAAACTGATAGCTAAAGTTCGGATCCCCCTCATTGAGGAAGAAGACAGATATGTGTGGGTGGGAAGTAAAGATGGAGCGTATTCTGTTAAAAGAGGGTACAAATTGGCTAGAGACTTAGTAGTGGACTCAAATGAGGGTGCCCCAAGTTGCTCTTACAGTGCAAGTAATGAATTGTGGAAATGTCTTTGGAAAATTAAAGTTCCCCCAAAAGTCATCCATTTTATTTGGAGGGCTCTCAATAGTGCTTTGGCCACAGCTGATGCATTATACAGGAGGAAGTGTGCCTGTAGCCCAGTATGTGGAATTTGCAAATCATAGCAGGAAACAACAGAGCATGTGTTATTCCTATGTCCTTGGGCTAGGATGTGTTGGTTTGGTTCTCCCCTGGCTCTGATGTTTGATGAACAAGTCATGGTGAGGTTTGACAGATGGTTCGAGGGATGGATTGCTAATAAGACTGAGATTGATGAATTTAATACTGCTTTATTTGCTTGTATTTGTTGGCAGATTTGGAAGATGAGGTGCAGCTTTCTATTTGAGAAAGAGGATGTGGATGCTGTGAAATGCCTTCAAGGAGCAATCAGATTGACTAATGAATTTTGGGGTTGTGTAAGCAGAAGAAGTGGAAGACTGACGGATGTACAGAATTTTGATAGAAATTCTTTATGGCAGAAGCCGAACGAAGGTACTGTAAAAATTAACGTAGATGGTGCCTTTGATGCACAGGGTGGCTCTGCTGGTATAGGTGTGATTGGTAGAGATAGTAAAGGGAGATTTTTAGGGGGAGTAAACCTGAAAGTGGATGCTCAATCTGCTTTTATGGCTGAGTGTTGGGCCATGTTGGAAGCATTCAGGATTAAAGATCTGTTTGGCGGGGACAAGGTGATTTTAGAAACTGATTGTTTGGAATTGTATAGATGTCTGAATAATGGAGAGGTTTTGACCTGCGACTGGAGGTGTGGAGATTTATTAATGAAGTGCTTAGAGCTGGGAAGAGGTGACTGCAACTGGGTTTTGTCTTTGGTTTCTCGTAAAGGCAATAATGCTGCTGATAGAATTGCAGCTTGGGCAATGAGGGGTGTGGTACCGCAAGGGTGGATTGATACTCCACCACCCTCTCTAAGGTCAATTCTGTTGCAGGACCTGGAAAGTACTGGCTCTTCTTCGACTTATAGGAAAGGTATAGGTTAATAGGGTGCTTTTTTTCTTGACTTAGGTTGTATCCTAGGCTTCTTTTTGCTTTTCTTCTTGCTTTCTGCATGTTGTCTTTTCTGCTTTCTTTCTGGTTATTAGTGTGTGTAACCTTTTTTTGAGAAATTAATAATATGGACTTGTTTTTGCTCAAAAAAAAAAAAAAAAACTAACTCACCTAACTTTTTTAATTTAATCAAATTAGTTAAATGGATCTTATATTAAGGATCGGAGGAGTGACAAATATTAAAAATCCAATTTTCTCTTGACACATTCGTTGTATCAGGAAACTCTAGATGTTGCAGATAAAGATGTATAAAAAATGCCTTTTAATTTTCTCCAAAACTTAAAATAATAAAATATACCCGGTAAAATATGTTGAGTATGACATTAAAAGGGTGTTTGGGTAACCTCAGAATAACTTTTCAGAAGTACTTTTCCGTAAATCGAGACAAACTCATTCACATATTTATTTCGTATACCGTAAAAACACTTCTGAAACCATAATTTTATTCTTACCCAAACACTCCCTGAATTTCATAACACGTGTAAAACGTTAGGCTCAAATTTAAAAATACAAGATGTATAGAAAAGGCACGTGTCGCATAATTTCAAGTGGCGATGGGGGAAATGAAAATCGTAATCTGTTACCTTGAAAAATCCTCCTAAATGGGCGTACAATTGACATTTTCTAAAGCAATCATAAAATTAATAGATAACATTTAATATTGTATAAGAAAAATTGAAAATCATTAATCACATAAGAATTAGGAAATTTAAAATATCTGTAATTTGACTCAATTTTCAATATTTATAATTTTAAAAAATAATAAATAATTCAAAAAAGTCTGAAATACTCAATTAAGTTTGAAATTATCATTGAAATTATAGATAAACGTAAAGTAGAATATATAAAAATTAAGGCTTATCACTAAGTTTGGGAGCGCAAGAGTGAAGCTTATAATTCAATTTAAGGCTAAGGTCTAGTTTTGTCTTGAAAGTTTTGGAAGTTTCTTAGTAGTGACTGTGGGTATTTAGAAGTTTTTTTTAGGATCAATATCATTCCGAAAATATTAAAAATGAGCAATATCTCCACTAAATATTAAAAGTACTAGCAATTAATGTTAGTGTTTTTAATTAATATTAGTTTTTTAACAGTAACCTTTAGTTTTTTAATAGTTAGGACACATTTTCTCTTGGGAAAATCCAAAAAAAAAAAATGATTGTTGAATTTCAAAATTGTCAATCAGTATTGTTACTCCATTCATAAAGAAATTAACTACACTCCAAAAACAAATAATAACACATTTTTATAGTAATTTCTGATTTGGAATTTTCAAATTCAACAATCATTTTTTTTTGGATTTCCCCTTTTCTCTTTTTTTAACATTTCTAAGATAACATTAATCTTAAAAAAGACTTCTAAATACCTACAGCTCCTATGTGAAAACTTTCAAATCAAAATTAAACCTTAATCCTTCAATTCACAAAATATGCGATAATTGCACGGAATTACAGAGTTACAAAATGGACAACACTTCAAAAAATGAAGCTTATAATTCAACATAGAACGATTTAAGCTCAAATAATACAAGAACTTTTTTTGGGAAAAAGAACTACAGATAATACAATTGGTTGGCAGTTCTTTGAAACTTCTAATTTTCTACCTGGCATCAACTACTGTGACTGTAACTTGATTCACAGAGTATGATTCTTCTTGTTGGGTTGAAGAACTAGTATCAGTATGAGTCCTTGCAACAAAACCTGGGTTCTTAGGCTGTGGTATTGATGCATTTTCACTACTTAACATTAATACTACAGAAGACATTGTTGGTCGATCTTCTGGTCTTTCTTGAACACAGATTAAACCAACCTTTATGCATCTTAATGCTTCAGATGATGAATATGAATTACCAAATGATGGATCCACCAGTTCCAGTGCGCGCCCTTCATTCCATAGCTTCCATGACTAACACAAGAAAAAGAAGTAACGTTCTGTTAGTAGGAGATATTTATGAATAATAAAGTACTTCAGTTTTAGAAAATATGGGTTTGTTCTTACATGTCCAAGGAGGTTTAACTCGTCTGAGTAATAAAATCCTCTGTTCTTCTTGCCGCTTATTATTTCTAACACAAGAACTCCAAAGCTAAAAACATCGGATTTTATAGAAAAAAGTCCATCCAATGCATATTCTGGAGACATATAACCACTGCAAATTGAATCTTCAAGAATCATTAGGATGTAGTATAACTTTTCTAATAAAAACTGTTTTAAGAATTCAAAAATAAATAAGTATCATGTCAGGTAAATATTAAATAGGACATGAGATTTCAAGTCCCATAATATACTTGTGAGTTTTCAAATAGTATGAGTTGTACTTACTATGTTCCAACAACTCTTATTGTTTTCGCTACTGTTTGATCATTACCAAAGATTCTAGCCATCCCAAAATCTGATATCTTTGGATTCATCTCCTTGTCAAGTAGAATGTTACTTGCCTTGAGATCTCTATGAATAATTCTAAGTCTAGAGTCCTGGTGAAGATAAAGAAGTCCTCTTGCTATTCCACATATAATGTCGAAGCGTAATTGCCAGTCCAATAAGGAACATTTTTCTCTGTCTGTGGACAGTTTCTTATCAGTTATCATAAGCATCAAGTGTTCAAATAAAAAATATAGTCTAGAATCAGATATTCTTATAAAGCAACATTCAAAGTTTGGTGATAATCAATGTGAAAACAAACTTACCAAACAAGAAAAAATCAAGGCTTTTATTTTCCATATATTCATAAACTAACATCTTTTCCTCGTTCTCAATGCAGCAACCAAACATTCGTACAAGGTTTCGATGTTGAAGCTTCACAATCAACTTGACTTCATTCTTGAATTCTTCGATCCCTTGCCCTGAGGCTTTTGATAACCTCTTCACAGCAATATCATGCCCTTCAAACAACCTACCCTGTGATTATCACAATATATCACTCCGATCAATAGGTTAAGAATTTAAAAATCTACAATGACAGTTAGATACACAAGTACAAATATTAAATTACCCTGTAAACACTACCAAAGCCTCCTTCTCCAAGTTTATTTGCCCCTGAGAAGTTGTCTGTAGCCAGTGTTATGGTATTAAAATCAAACAATGGCAACTCTAGATCATCCATGTTCGTATCACCTGAATTTTCTGTATTTCTTGAGACTAAAAGTATATCTTGACTTGTCCCAAAACCACCTAATATGAAGAGAGACAGGAAAACATTATATCCAGCAGAAGTAATTCCTCACCTAAGCCACTATAAACTGTACATACTACTTCTGTATTACCTATCTGCTCTGCTCTTCGTTTTAGTATATTTGACTTTCTCTTCCACAAAAGAAACATGATCAAACCCAAAACTATGATAATTGCTCCCATTGTAATGCCTATAATCATGCCTGTATTTTTCTTCTTGCCACTTGCAGATCCTGGGTCAGCTGAGAAATAAATAAAACTCTCAGCACAGTCATGTCCCCTTGGATTTGGCCTAAAATAGGTGGGTTAATCTGTGAATCTAGAAATATTACCTTATAGCAGCAAAGAAACAAACAAGTAAAAGGACGAAGCAAAGAAAGAAGCTTACTAACAACAGAAGCAGCAACTCTGACAAAGACATCTTGGCCACCTTCAGAAAACTGCCTCATGTCTTTCGGGTCCTCAGTCCATATAACACAACCTGTTCCTCCATTAATGACGTTCACATTAGCATAAGCACTACAAGAACAATTTTTCCTGCACATGTCCTCACATTCTGAAAGGGACATGCTATTGTTCACAAACGCATTCACTGATTCAGGTAACTCCACATGCTGCAGCTGCAAGAACTTGTCTGTCGGACAATCCAAACCTGTGCTCCTCGCGCAGCCATCGGTAAAAACTCTCAAATTCCATTCATTCTGATTTTTTGGGCTGAAACTTTGAAAGCATTTACATACAGGAAAAGAATTGGAATCACATATACCATATGGACCACATTGAAAGTACTTATCGCATCGGTCTTGAGGTGCAGACCATATCATGTTCCAACTTTGGCTTCCTTGTGCTCTTACAAATCTTTGAACATCACCAGTCCAATTTATAACAAGCCTTGTAAGAACAGATTGGTTACCGGTTAAAACCGAAGAGGGTGTGTAGTACACCTCGTCTGAATTTTGAACCAAAGTATCTTGAACAACAGCTTCTGATGTGAGTACTGGCAATCCACCGAATCTTATACCATTCCATGGTCCTGTTCTAAATGTTTTGTCCCCTTTATCATACAAAAAAGCTTCTGGGATTCCTTGGCGTTCCATTCTGAAAGAATAATCTCCACTTGAAGGGTCGTTTTCGCTTTTCCATGATGTTATACGCCATTCAATGCCTTTACCAAAGTCCCATCCCAGCTTCATACCTGGTAACAAAGTGTCTGTGGGAAAACCAAAGCTTTGCCAGGGAAAGTTGTCGGAGTCATCAGTTTCACTTGCTTCTTTAATTACCAGATTCCCAGAATCCAGAAGCTTGAGCACAGGATTTGAAGGTGCAGATTCTGATTGATTCGAGGACCATAAGGAATTTCCTGCTGGATCGAGAAGAACCAGGTTTGCTCTGTCTCCGATTTTCAGAGTTGCATTGGAATTTTCAAGTGGGGTGTCTCTGTTTGCAACCCAGACGATTGTTCTCTCAGGAATGTTCTTGTACCAGATTCCCAAGTACCCTCTGGAAGAAGAAGTTGAATTGAAGAACCCTAATTCAAACACTTGATTGGAAGATACAAGGGTTTGGTTAATCCCTAGTGATTGGGTTGAATTTAAGGTATCGCTAGAGAATGAAATTCCAGAAAATAAAGAGAGGATAACAGCACAGCTCGAGAAGAAGTTAACATGGAGGTAGCCAAGAAAACCTCCCATGTTCTGGAATTGAAAAGGCAGAAAAAGACCCTAAAGCATGATAATGGAGATTGAGGATGCTTTAAATCCATGATTTTTATCAAGATAACTTGCTTGGTTAGTCTAAAATCTCCCTCTCTGCTTCTGGTCTTTGGTCGAAGATTTCAACCCAGATGATCGTTCAAAGTTGATCAATTTCAAATACACTATGATACTGTTGACAATTTGACATATTTAATGCAGGCGGCATCGAGGAGCCGTATAAGCGCGTGTGTCTTTTCAGGTTCCTTCAGTATTTGAATTTTTAATATAACCTTTGCCTTTCAGTATATTTTCATTTTAGTTTTGTTTCATTAAATTTTAAATTATAAGTTTTAATTTCTTAAAAAATAAAATAGTCTAAGTTTTATTAGATTACAAGGATCAATATTTCAAATAAAATCAAATTTAAAAACTTAAAAAATTAGAATTAAAATAAGAATAAATTTAAAGAATAAAAAATTATATTAATCTAATTTTTAATTGTCATGCTTCAACAACCCACCCGAAACATGCATTAGGTGATTAAGATGGCTAAGAAATTAAGCCAAGACTTCGTTGTTAATCACAAAGTCAACCAAGTACTAACAATGACTTTTCAACCGAAAACATAAAGGGGAAATAATTATAATATTAAAATTATGACTTGTACTTTATATAAAACTAAAAATATTGAAAATCAAGTAAAATTGATGCATTTTTTTTATTACATATTCAACCAAAATGAGTTAGAATATTCATGAATGAATTACATATAATTCAACCAACATAAGTTAATAACGCACAAAGATGATGGATACATTGTGATTTCTTTTATCTTTTTTAAAGCTTCAAACGGCTTCGTTTTATGCTCAAGCAAAAAAACACACCCTAGATCAAAATTATTGTCTAGACTGGCCAGAAAATTATTCACTTGTCTGACCAGTCATTCAAATTGAGTTGGGATTTCACACCATGATGAAAACTAAACCAATTGTTAAATTGAATTGGTCATCAATCCCACCATAATTAAGATATATAAAAAAATACTCATGTGTAACTTTGAAGCAAGTAATATCTCAAAAATATTACTTATCCCAGTAGAAGAGGTCCAACATATGGATTGCACAACCTGTGTTGCATTTTATTAATAACTAAATTTTTGAATATATTGTAAACCAAAAAAATATCAAATTTCATGATTTTATTGAGCATTCTCTTTTGTTTTCTTTTACCTTTTTTCTTAAGACTTTAAATTATTTTAATTACCCTTCTCACGAGACACTAATGCTTTGTGCAACCTACTTTGTACATCTATGAATCATGTCAAACAATATTCTGCTTCATTTTGTCACACCACTTTCTATGTCATTTTCTCTTTAATGGTACAGGCCAAAATGGGGTATGTTGATTAAGCATTTTATGCACGGGTTCATCGAAGCGTGAATTAGGATTGCATTCTTTCTTAGTACTATTTGTGGTCCTAATTATAAGAGTTAGTTGACTAATTTGAGAAAATTAAAGAAAGAAGTTAAGTTAGTTATCAGTAATAAATAGGTGTTGTCTTTCCTAAAATATCATTGCTAATCAAGTGTGTTGGGTAGAACTATCATTATTAGAAGGATTATTTTAGAAAAAATACTCCTCCGGTTCTTAATATAGGATCCAATTATTGAGTTAGTTTTGGTCCTAAATATAAGACTCATTTCTCATATTTATCAATTTTCTCTAAATTACCCTTATGGATACTCCCTCAACCATAATCAAGTAGAAAAGGGAGAGGAGGTATTAAGAAAAATGATTATGGTGTTTTAGGAAAAACGTGTCACATTTTTTATAATTAACTAACTTACCTAACTTTCTTAATCTAATCGAATTAGTTAAATGTGTTTTATATTAAGGACCGGAGGAGTATATAAATATGAAAGACAAAGTAGATTGAGGTTTTATATTTAGGACCAAAATAAAAGTCAAACAATGTCTTATATTAAGGATTTGAGGTAGTATTTGTTTCTTGAGCTGTGGGCATGATCATTCGCTTCCTATGTGTCTCAATATTGAATGTGATGTGCTATGGCATAACATAAGGCTTGTTTGAAATTGTTTATTAATAGCTTTTTAATCATTATTTATAAAACACGAAATAAATATGTAAGAAAATTTCTATCTCAGTATATGAAAATATGCTTATAAATATTTAAATAAATCAATCCAAATGGGTGCATAATAGTCCTCCCCATCTGTTTTAAAGGACACCACTCTCTCGTAATTTCATCCATATCGGAAGCCTAGAAATGATGGAGGACAAATGAAATCTAGCTTCTCAACAGTCGTAGCTTTTGATCTCGCCAAAATTAGATAATGTTTTAGAAAATTTTCAAAAAAAAAATTAGTAGAATTTCAAATATCTGAAAAGATCACTTGAGTTCAAATTCAGGGCACTTTTTGAAATTTCAAATCAGACATAGTGACTATATTGAAATTTTAAAATGTTAGTAAATTTATAATATTACTTTTTGTTTTTTTTCCCTTTAAAAAGCCCCAAATTACCTTCATTGGCCAGCGAATTGTCGGTGACCATCGCTGGGGTTCAACTGGGTCGTTTGTCTTGGTCATCAAGGCTCGATGACAGACAATTATTCTTTTGATTTGTTTTTTTTTGGATATTTGTAACATGATTAACAATTCTTATAACGATATTCACGATTTCGTTAACATCATTGACAACATAATTAACAACATATTTTTCATATTTTTAAAATGAGATTATTTTAGTATTCACAACATAATTAACAACTCTTATAATAATATTCACAATTCCACTATGTCATTAACTATATTTTAGACTAGGATTTTTTTTAATATTTATAACGTGATTTTCTCAATATTTATAGCGTGATTGACAATTCTTATAACGATATTCACGATTTCAGTAATGCCATTAACCACTTTATATGATAGATTTTCAAATTAATATTATTAATTTAATACATATTTTAATTTAATAAAATAAATGCATATTAAATATGTTATATTTTATCGTGGTTCCTATTTTCCTAATTTCTCCAAGTCTAAAAGCTTATCATATTATGCGATTAATGACATTAATAAAATCGTGAATATCTTTATAAAAGTTATCAATCATAGTACAAATGTTGAAAAAAATCTCAATTTAAAAACCTAAAAGTCATGTAGTTAATGACATTAATAAAGTTATGAATAATCACAAATGTTAAAAAAAATATCAATTTAAAAACCTAAAGTCATGTAGTTAATGACATTAATAAAGTTCTGAATAATCAAAATGTTAAAAAAATATCAATTTAAAAACCTAAAGTCATGTAGTTAATGATATTAATAAAGTTATGAATAATCACAAATGTTAAAAAAAATCTCAATTTAAAAACCTAAAAGTCATGTAGTTAATGACATTAATAAAGTTATGAATAATCACAAATGTTAAAAAATTCTCAATTTAAAAACCTAAAGTCATGTAGTTAATGACATTAATAAAGTTATGAATAATCACAAATGTTAAAAAAATTCTCAATTTAAAAACCTGAAAAACACGTGATTAATAAAATTAAGAATATGGTTGCCAATTAGGTTACGAATATTTTCAAAAGAAAGGTTGGAGGCTACAAAGCTTGGTTATCGCGAGAGCTCCACCTAAACTCCAGCACCCATCGCCCCTGGCTGCAAGGGTGACTTGAGGCTATTTAAAAAAAAAAAAAATAGTAATAATTATAATGAAGGATAATACTATAAATTTACTAATACTCCAAAATTATAATATAGTCATTGCAATTTTTTTTTTTGTAGAATTTTCCTGATGCTTTTAATGGTTAGAATGTGAGTAAAACTAACTAACCAGCTCTTCAAGATTCATAATAAGTAGATCTTATTTATCAAAGTGCAACATTGATGTTGCATATAGTATGTTTCCTATCACTTAGAAGTGGATTATCCCACACCATAATGAAAAAATTTAGTTTAGTATGAAAATTTAGAATTATACTTTATTATATGATCATATAACATGAATTATGTATTGGTCAGAATTATTATTGGACAATACTCCTCCAGTTCTAAATATAAAACTCTTTTTGTAATGTAAATTATATTACAAAAAGAATATTATATTTAGGACCAAAAGAATAGTATTTTCCCTTTTCGTGCAGATTCTTTTCGCGGGGCAAATGAATAAGTGGAGAACAAATAAATTTTTTATTCCCCCCTGAATTTAAGATTACAATAAGATACCAGGAAAAAAATTATCAAATTAAACCCCAGACTTTGTTTCAATTATTTTTATTGATTCTTTGAAACCATCTGCCGTGTAAAGCATTGTTGGTTAAAAAAGAAATCTTCTTTTGGAATAACAGATCTAAGAGAGAAGGATGAGAAGTCTACTACTTCGGAAAAAAAGTTGACCTTTGCAAGTTAGCTGGTGATGCGATGTGATGTGTTAATCGCGTTTTGCAATAATAAATAAAATACTCCTCCGGTCCTTATCATAAAACCCCATTTGACTTTTTATTTAGTTCTAATTATAAGACCCCAATCCATTTTGTCTTATATTTATACATTTTTTTCCAAGATAATCCTTCTAATAATGATAGTTTTATCCAATATACTTAATTAGCAAGGATATTTTAAGAATGACAACACTTATTTATTATAAATAACCAACTTAACTTACTTCCTTAATCTTCTCAAATAAGTCAATTGGGTCTTATAATTAGGACCGGAGGAGTATAAGAATAACGAGAAACACTCAGCTCTTATTTTAATCGAATGCAAGAATTTGCTCGTGATTAAATGCATGAAAATGGAAGAAATGGTTTTTCTAGAATGTTTGCCAAAAGAGACTGTTATGTACTAACGTTATTCCAAATATGATGCTCATACATTTGGAATAAGGTAAATAATCATTTATCAAGCCAAAAGGTTTCACATTCCTCAGTCAAAAAAATTCGGATGCGTGGTCAGGATGTTGGAAATTTCAGTCTTTTCCACCCATCAAATAACAGCCTGAGATGAAAGTGATGAGAAGACTCACCCCCATTCCACCCTGCTTATAGCAATCTGAGAATCCATTATAGATCACTTGTTCCCAGTAAGTCAAAAATGAGGACGAA